TATTTGTTATTCTTAATAGACTCCTAATCAGTGATAGAGATAATAAGCTTTACTAAGCTTATCTCTTCATCTATGGTTTTAACAAACATTTTTGGGAAAAACTCAATACATTTTAGAAGGTAATTTTTTAACAGAGATGCTAGTAAGTAAATTCTATTTGTTTCTCATCCCCAGTGAATCAAATCTACAAAGGATCTTTCCTGGTCTGAATTAATTTTAATAGTAAAGAACTCACTGTCAAGTTGAGTAGTGATAGACTTAATGTTTCAGAGTTGCTGCTACTTTAATTCATGAAATAATGAAATAGAGTTTAGGAAACATTTGTATGACAGTGAAGTACTATATGCAACTGAAACTTCCGCAAAAAATGCTTTACAGCAACAAAATACTCAGTATTCATATATCGGCCTAGGTTTAGCTGCTCTTACAAATCATAACAAACAACACAAAAACACACTATGAAGTAGTTTGCAAACACATTATATTCACTTAATAGCAGATACGAAACTACTGACACTTTGGGCCTTTTAAAACAGCTCCTGGAAATCAGTAATTAACCTTCTTATGTTAGCAAACTCATTGAATTTTAGTGTAAAGAGCTGGTGTGTTGAAATGCCTTGAGACTGCTTTAGGAACCTCTCTGAGAACACCCTTGTATTTGTCCATATTTGATGTCTGGGTTTTTCAACCAGTTTCTTCCACAGCCTTATATGTGCAAGTCCATTAGTGCAGTTTAGTTTAATGGCCTTTTCCAGTCTTTCACAGGCTGATGCAAATCAAGAAACTGGAGTCCCTCTGATGACTTTAATTACTCATCTTATTGCCCAAGGACTTCTCTTGCCTCTTATTCCTCCTTGCCTTTTACATGTCTCTGATTCCTGTCTCTTAAATAATTCTGGGCTGCTCAAGCGAATCTCCTCAAAACCTAGCAGTAATTGGATATTGCTGTGGAGACTTGCTATTCTCTACAAAGAGAAAAAAACATATAAGTGTATTTGAGACAGAAAGGGAGAGGAATGATTTTGCCATTCCTCCCCAGTGTGCAAGTTCAGATAGATAAAGGATTCAATCTTATCAGGTGGTGAATGACATCAGCCCTCTATCTCCCCAAAAAACCCAAGCAGGTTGCAAAACACATTGAAGGTCAGCTTTCAGTTCAAAAAATAAATGCTTGCAAAGAACAAAAAGGAATTTAATCCAAACCACTGCACAAAAAGAGAACCCTTCAGTGAAAGGATGAGAATATTGCTGTTGACAGGGGTGGGGAGAAAACCTGCCAGTTTTTTCGATACAAAGAATAATCAAATTGCCATGGATGATGCCAGAAGAGATCCAAGCCTCCCTTTGGTCCCCAGATGAAGTCCTAATGTAACATTTGCCCAGATCAGCACATCCCGTATCCCTCTAGGAGGAGCAATGTCCAGGCAGCTTCACCAGCCCGAATGTTTGGAGGGGGATGTTTTGGCTCTGACCTGGAGTGACATTAGGTATCTGCTCTATAATTGACTGACCAAAACAACCCAAAGTCACATATCACCTCAGAAGAGAAGGGTTGAATCCAGTCTAAATCAGCTGAGTTCTCCTGTGCCAGAAAACCTTGGGCTAAGCAGTTAGGACAGGTTTTTCAGCAGAGCCAAAAATACTGGCTTTTAATTTTGTGATTTCAATCCTATTTCAGAATTTAAACTGATAATACTCCATCTTAATTTAAAAATAAGCCCTACTGCCTCACTTAATCATGTCTCCATAAATACTTGGGCCAGATCCACAGTGTCATGATGTCCTTTTCAGAGGGAAAGCCGGCAGTTTCACCTCCTCAGGTTCATTCTTCAAGCATCCCCTGGGGCTGTACAGCTAGCACAGCTGTCACTTGGCCTACCCTTAATCTACCAGCTATGCTCTGATGAGCCCGAGCTTCTCAGAGGCTCTCATAGCCAGCCAGATTTGGGGCAGATTTGGCATTGCACAAAGAACAGGTTGAATTGGCTTTCAACACGACATTTAGGACACAAAGGTGGATTGGGGCCAAATTCCCCTCATGCTGAGTTCAGTGCAGCAAACACTTGGATCTTGATAAGCTCAATAGATTATTTTTTTTCTTTCAAATTGACCTGTTCTGTTTTACTTCATTCTTCTTTCATTTTTTTCAAAATCATGTTTCTTTGTGTTTGTATATCTGCCTCTGCTTTTTCTTCCTTGTTTTTTGGGTTTTTTTTTTCCAGTAACAGGCTTATTAACATTTCCTTCATTGTTTCTGACTGTGCTTCACTGACTCATATTTTACCATTACCTATAACTTCTTTCTTTTTCTATCCGTGCTGCATTTTCTCCACAACTGCAATCCTGAGAACAACATGTCCCCCCAAACCCCTTAAATAATGTAGCGAATCCTTCTGTGGAGATAGTTTGACCAGGTGTGTTGACTTATGTGTAGCCATTCAATAGCTGTTTGTCTTTAACACGATAAATCACTAGTGTGTGTTAAATAGACCTGGTTTTAAGGTGGGATTCAGCTCCCCTGGCAAAGGCAGGGACACATTGTCTTTCTTCCTACCACTCCTTTTTTTTTTTTCTGCAGTTTAAGACTATAATGATAAATGTTTTTAATCCCTTTGCCATTTAAAACACTAAGGTCTTGGACATATGTCTTTCCTCTGTATGCTTGATTTTATTTGGTAAAATCGAGAGGAACATAATCTTGGATGAGATTGTTATGAAAAAACACAAACAACCTTTTCCAACACCCCACAAAAGAAAACCCTTATGGTTTTATTGTTCTGTCAAGGATTTACTGTCAAATTCCATTTCAGCAATCCCAGATATCATGATTTAAAAGTGGTTGTGGGCTCAGAAAAATGCCCTATTGCTATGAGTCAATTGCTAACTATAAACGTTTTCTGACAAGAATACCAAGAGGACTCCGTGAAGGAGTGGTGCTGGGATCTCTATTACAGCATTGTGCACAGCAGATGAGTCTTATCCTACCACCCTGGAGAGTAAGCAGGCCTCATTTCCTAGCAGGAAAGGTAATAACTGAGCAAAAAGGTCAACGAATCAATGAATAATCAATGCACCTTCATGGAGTATTGTACTAATGCTCTTTCCTGATTGATCACTGTTTCCAATGCTGGCAAATTCAGTATTATAGAGTGAGATTAATTTACTACAACTTCACCTATTTACAACGCAAATGACTCATCTAACCTCTTTGGATATCTCTTCTAAAATGAGATTACTCAAATCCTAGGTTTGTTTATTTCTCTTCACTGATTATAGGGGGAGCCCAAAGCTATAGGTAGCTTATATGTGGCAGTGGGGGTGTCTGGGGAGCATCAGGCAAAGCATCGCCAGGCGATCGAGGGGGGTGATTTTTCTGCTCTGCTCTGCACTTGGTGCAGCCTCACCTTGAATATTGTGTGCAGTTTTGGGCACTGCAATGCAAGAAAGATATTAGGCTGTTAGAGAGTATCCAAAGGAGGGCAACAAAGATAGTGAAGAGTCTTGAAGGGAAACCGTGTGAGGAGCAGCTGAGGTCACTTGGTCTGTTCAGCCTGGACAAAAGGAGACTGATGGGAGACCTCACTGCAGTTACAGCTTCCTTGCGGGGGGAGGAGGAGGGGCAGTGGTGACCAGTGACAGAACCCATTGGTCACCCACTGGTGACCAGTGTCAGGGGAGGTTTGGGTTAGATATTAGATATTAGAACAACGTTCTTCACCCAGAGGGTTGCTGAGTCCGGAACAGGATCCCCATGGAAGTGGTCATAGCACCAAGCCTGGCAGAGTTCAAGAAGTGTTTGTCTGATACTCTTGGTGCTACTCTTGGGAATGGGTGCAGGGCTAATGATTGGACTCTATGATCCTTGAGGGTCCTTTCCAACTCAGCATATTCTGTGATTCTGTGAAAGCTGTTCCTACAGAAGAAGATGGTGTTCTAGTGGGGCTGATGAAATCACCTAACCCAACACAGAGCAGGCAGGCCATCAGCGTGCTGTGGAAAACCTCAGCAGGTCCCGGTGGGCATAATCAGATATCTTTGTATCTTAAAAAATCTTCTCCCTTATGCCCTTTGCTTTCTGACAGGAAGCAACCTAGGCCAGCATTTCCTCTGGGGCCAGGACCACATGGGTTCCCCTGGAGAGGCAGGGCAGAGACTGGCGGCAGGGCCCATCCCTCCATCCCAGTCAGAAATGGAGTAGGGAATGCACCATGGAGGCTGCAGTCCCTGCCACCAGGGACTTACTGGGGCCGAGGCCAGACCAGGACACAGGCCCATGGGTTGGCCCAGTTTGGTGGAACCCCATGGCTAGGCAAGGGAGCTGGAGACCAGCTCTGCCATGACATCAGTGAGGCAGGGGTCAACCAGCCCAGGAGGTTGACATGGGGTCCTGGGCCATGGGTAGTGTTGGGGGAACCCCAGGGCGATGGACAGGGACAGTCAGGGCCCCAGCACTTGCACACACTGGTCAGTTCAGAGGCAGACAACCTTTATAAGGCTGCTGCCATGTGTCCCATGTTAGTCCACTCACTGCTGTGAAGCCCATGGCTCACCTGAGCTGCTCCAGGTGAAACCTCAACCACATGACTTCTGTGTACACCTTGTCTCCACGTGGGCTTGGGTTTCACCATTGATGCTTATCAGCAAAAGAGGTGCCACCAAATCCAGCTCATGCATGCAACCTAAGCATCATTTGGACTTGAAGGTGACCATCTCATTTGCTAGACGCTGATTTAAACATCCCTGAAATGAAACACAGCTTTCCTATTTGGATGCAGGTTAGTTCCTGGACTTCTCACAAGTAACAAAACGCTAACAATATCAAATGCCAAACTGAGCTGCAACTCTCTTGACGAAAACACCTTGCCCCACAAGCAAAGTTGCCTGGGGGCCTGATTCCCCAGAGCAGTCAGACATTGCATGATGGTTTACAGCTGTTTACGGTGACTCTGCTAAGGGTGGTGTAATGCCGATGTGGGCACACTGCATCATGAACCTGGAATCTCAACGTGACTTAAATGCTGTCTTTGGACAAAATAAACACCTCAGAAACATAAACGAAGATGTTTATTGCAAATAAAAACTTGTATTCACATAATTAAGCCTTATGAAGTATAAAGAGGTCATTTTGAAAATTGTGAAGCATCCACATGTGCAAGGCTGCTGTTTTCATCAGAACAGCTGCCTGGATCATGCGTGTAATTATCTGAATGTCACAAGCCAAATATCCTTCTACCTAGAACTGTTTGCATTTGGCTGGTGATGTCATTCTGACACTTCCACAGTTTCATTTTCTCTGGATCTGGCAGTAGAGGCTCATAGAAAACACCAAACCAAGAATCTGGAAAACAAAGACATTTCTGGTATTACTTGGCTGTTCTGGAAATCCCTGGATACAACTGATACACAGTGGAAATATTTTGTCTGCAAATGTCTTAGATTTACATGTAGGCTAAATCTGCTATGCAGAAGATCTTTTCCAATGTAACTCTCAAAGAACATGACTACAGAATAGAGCCATTTCAATCAAGTGATTATGTACCATAGGTAAGACTGCAAATGTGATGGAGAAATTTCATTTGTTTAAAAGATGGATTGCCTCTGTGGTTGGGAAACCCTGTAGTTCTGGGGGTTTAAAATGCAGTTGTTAGCTGAAAAGAGTAGCAATTACTTAGAAGTTCAAGAAATTCAGACAAAAATTGAGTATTTTCTTTTCTAATAAAGTTAGAGTAACTTTCACTGTGTATTCTAAGGGTCATTTCCCTTTGAAATCTTTCTTCTTTTCCACTGTCACTCTCTTTTTTTATAAATATATGTGCAAAGTATTATGGATACAGGTATACGTATGCATGTGCCTATTGTATACAGGTACACATTTACACACATACCCCATCATTTTGAGTTGCAAATTATCATGCAACCAATATTTTATATTCATAAGTAATAGATTTGAGATAGGAACACTGATTCCACCGAAGAAGCTGTTACTTAGAAGAGAAAATTCCCTAGGGTCACCTTCTGTCATGGGAATTAGTGGGTGAAATTCCACAGCTTGTGACAGACAGCTGGTGAGATCAGAACATCAGGAAGTTTCCTTCCAGATTTAAAACAGACTGGTCTGTGAAGATGTTCCACAAAACTGGAAAGCATCCAACTGACATTTATGAAGACATGAACACCGGCATACTTAATTTACTTAAGGAAGAGGTAGAGAAGAGCATATGTAACACAGGGGTGCAGCTAAGACAAGGGGATGGACTCACAGCTGGAATAAACTGACAGGGCATGCTCATAGTTTCACTTGCGCCCAAGTGAAACTGGGCCCTTCTTTTCAGTATCATTTTCATTAGCAGGGTGAGCTGAAACCAGTAACAGTCCGCAAGTGGCATAATGGAGCAGGCAGAGAGGGGAAGAGCACTTCTTTTTACCTGGGGTTTTCCAGAGCAGAGAGGTTGTTAAGCATGTGGCCTTTGACTTGCAATTGCTTGCGAAGTCATAATAAGTTAATATCTTTGAAAAGGCTAAATGTTTATCAAGCATAAATTGCCAGCTGACAATTTGTACCAGCTGAGGCTCATATTGTTTATTTATGTTGAGGTTTAATCCTTTTATGACTGGGAGAGGCAGCCACCACACAAAATGTCAAGTGGAGAACAAGAAAGAATGATGGGCAATGAACTGAAGGCTACAACTCACATAACTGCAGTAACTAGAGCAAAGTGACTTATAACTTGCCTTAGGAATACAGATGCAATTTTACAATTTTATTATATTTTTAAGGTTTTTTAACATTTGTGTATTTCACCTATTTTTCCCCAAAGCCAGCATTTGAGTGAGAGATCTGACCTGCCACATACAGCTCTTTAAATGCCATGAAGTCTGTGCTGAGTAAGAAGTTGGTGGCCTGTCCGCTCCCAGTGCTGCAGCTATGTAACTTTTCCCTGCTTACTATTATTTTCCTGGAAATGTATTTTTGAGCTGGGGCTCTTGCCCACTCTTCTACCACAAGGAGAAATCCTCTGCCAATGATGTTAAGAAGATTTTGCTTAGAATAACAGAATGAACTCTGCACAGCAATCTTTGTCATTTCTGCTTTTCCCCTCAAACATTCACTGGTGGGGAGTGGGGGAGGAGAGAAACCAAGGAGGAAGAACGAAAAGGAAAAAAAATTACCAAAGAAAGCAACAAGATGAAATCTCATTTCTTTGTCATTTTCTCCAAATCCAAATCAAGTAGCTAACTGGATAACCTCACTTATTTTCCTCCTCTCTTCAGAGAAAATCTTGCATGTTATTCTTCAGTGTATGATGAGGCAATTAAACAGTTCATATACTCTGAATTTTTTTACACACAGGAATACATGGAGCATCACAAGTGGGCACTCAGACACATCCATGGACCACCTTGATGGCTAAAATATGCCTCAGAATTTTAATTTAGTTCTACAATTTCTCCATGATATGAATATGCAGTTTAGGGGCTAAGGTTTCTTAGGAGATGAGTT